CACAATGGGTATGTGTGTCAATGAACCGACAGATAAACTAAGCAGCAAATAAGTTTTAAAAACAAAACACTATACATACCAATCTTTACTCTACCCCTCTCTGGCCCTTCCCCCATCACTAAAATGTTCGCTGGTTTCTGATGGAGACAAAGACACACAAACACAGATAAAAATGTTTCCACACTCCAGACATCTGACAGGAAAACTTCCCAGTAATTAATTCAGCTTTGTTTGGCCCAGTTTCTGAACTACAGCCCTGCATGTGTAATGCAATCAAAACTCTTTCTTGCTGCCCTCTAGTGGACAAATAACTGCAATTTCCCCAACAGGAGAGAGAAAGTCTACCACATTTCGATCTCACTTACGGCAGAAAACTGACATCCTGTTCATGTGTTAACAAGTTAGTTACTCACCAAACAACTGAAGAATACTGTTCATTTACATATTCATCTGAACACATACAGACTGACACATGCACTCCACATATTCTCAGCCCAATAGCAATCTTTACGTCTCTCATTAACAGTTTAACCTAATTTTCCCTTGTAGCCAAACACCCTCCTCTCCCCCCAATCCTCTTACAAGATCTCTATGAAGGACCCAGTTAGCGTGAAGGTAATGGATGCCATCCAGAATCTGATAGAGCAGAGACTTCACCATTCCTCTAGGCAACTGAAGCGGCTTCTTGTTGGCCTTAGATGCTCTGTGGAACTTAATAATGTGCTATGGAAAGAAAGGGTAAACAGTGAGGAGGGCTTTGCACGTACAGACTGACTGAAATGCATGTTCTTTTGCTACAGATGATCACAAAAATGTAAGTGTGCTGCAGGCGAGTTGAGAGAGCCTAATGTTTGTGGCATGTGTTTCCACTTCCTTGGGAGGGGAATGCAATTGTTGGAGCTCTGTGGCAGAAAACTGCATCTAACTCAGTTCTGATTCTCTGCCAGCTGTTTCTGTCAACTGTAATGCAGCAGAGGTTTAACTGCTCAACGTGGAATACTTCTTGGTGGATGCGTGTGCTTTAATGAGACTTACCAGTGCATAATTAGCACTATTTCAAGTCTCATTCCTTATTACTGGTTGAAGGCGAATGTGAATGCATTGCCATTAAAAGGACATGCAAAAAAACAAACAACAGATAAACAGCTATCAAATTGCATGCACATTTATGACCTAATTATGAAGAGAGGCCTATTTTAAGTCATGTCTTTGTGCTCATAAAAATAGGTGGAAATCTGCAACCCATGCATGCATATGAATATAAAATAATAAATAAATGCTTAAAACAAACTATTTAAAACCCCCCAAACATGCGTTACCCTCATAATATGTGTGGTAAGTCATGTCATGCAGGTCAAGTGTGTGTATATGTGTGTGTTGTGTGTTTGCATTTTACCCAGAGATCATGTTCAGCATAGTCAAAGAGCAGCCATACTTTACGGTCAGCATGTGACAGGAAAACCTTCTGCAGTGAGATGACATTGGGGTGCTTCAGCTCCCGCAGCAGCTGCAACGTACAAACCCACTCAGAAGGCCAACCACACAATCTCATTACAGACATCATGAATGAAAATGACGTAACGAAAGAGAAACTTTGCACTTATTTTTGTGACTGTATTGATTACCAGAAATTATACTTAAACAGGGGGGTGGACATGATATCATCTCCTCAACTGAACACTTTCAATCTTTGGCAGTAAGATGTTTTTTTTGTTTGTTTTTTTAAATGCTTGTGACTAATTCGGTGTCTACTCTCTATATGCACTGCATTAAAATCTGCTTTCTGACTTTTCAATTTTACAATTGCTTGTATTTCACATTTTTCATTTTCTTGACAAAAACTAGCATGTGAATGTCATTCGGGCGTTACATAAAGTGCCTGGAATGGCACGAAGGTGTTTAATCACAGACCAAACAAAAGGAACAGAGTAAGCCAAGCAGCTCTTACTGCAATCTCTCTGCAGGCTGACATGGAGATGCCAGTGCCTTCAATCTGCTTGAGGGCGTAGTCCTTATCATCCTTCCTACAAAGACACACACACACACAGAGAAAGGTAGAGCAACATCAACACCAGACCAGCCCAGACCAGTCCAGACTGAGGGCCCCCTGAGAGCCGTTTGCACAACAACATAAAGGGGGGCACTTGGCAGCTGCCAGTGGGACTCTGAGAAGAGGCCGAGTTGCATTACCTCCAAATTTGTGTAATCAAGCTCACCTCTGAGGGTCAAAACAATAGAGAGGGAAAGGAAACAGGGCCTGTCTGGCAGCTGGCAAGGGACAAACAGAGCACTGGCACTGGTGCTTACTTGAACGAATTGGTTACAACCCCTCCCTCTGCCGGGGCTAAATCATCTCATAAACCCAAGCTTTGTGCCTCGTCAGGCCTCGTCCAAAAGCAGCAGCGCAACTCTGCTAAAAAGTCTCATAAAAAAGCAGGCTCCTGAAGCGAAATACAGACATCTTTAAACACTTTAGGGTTCTTTTGTGTGGTTCCTGCTGCCAGTATGTCCGGGCTGTAATAACGGGACTAGTAGCTTAAACCGTCTTGAGCTCTCCCCCAGCTCTAGTCCAGACACAGTTAAGGTTGTTACAAGGCTGGCATTAGAAACAGCAGGAAAGTTTTAGGAAGAAAGGTGGGTGGTGCCCTGGCATCCTGAGGGATTAGCACACTAACCATGCACCACATGAGTCTACAGTTTGGGTTCAGCTAGTTCCCTTACTTTACTTCATGCAAAGGCTAAAAGCAAAAAAAAAAAAAACAGTTAAAATTGGGTAAAAAAAAAAAAAAAGACTAAAGAGTGCATAAACTGGGCATAACTAAGGATTATTTTTTGGATTCACACAAAATCTTGTATAAGTCTCTTTGCAGCCATGTAGATCATGTATAAGAAAGACAAAAAAGAAGAAGACATCAACAAGTGCTTCCACATGCACCTGCTGTATTACATTTACAACATCACATGGGGGAGGGAATTAAAAAATACTTTAGCTTAAATAAAATAGTACCTAGAGTTAGGCATATAAGTGACAAAACAGATGCATGAAAAGGGAAAGCTCCAATCCCGGTGGTAAACCGTATGTCGGTGTTTTTTGTGCGCGACACAAAGCTCCATCAGCATCCCAACAGTGCGAGCTGAAACTGCTCACACGGCTCTCTTTTGTCTCTACACAAACCAACTGCAACACTCTCACATCTGCAAGTGGCCTTGAAAGGGGGAGGAAGAGGAGAGAGGTAACATTTATTTGGAAGATGAGAAGAGAGGCAGGAGGCGGGGGGTAAGCTGGCTAAGGGTTCACTGGCTAAAAGGCCTTGCTGCTCATCAACTCACCCATCTTTTCTCTTCGCCTTGTATACATGGCCGTAGGTGCCTCTACCCACTTTGCATCCTTCGTACTCAAACAGGTCCTCGACACGCTCTCTTTCGCCGGTCAGCTTCACTTTAAAATCATAGTCCATTTTCACCACCGTCTGGCCTGAATGTATCTGCTCCTTCCTTTTTTAAAGCGTCGCTTGGGAGGCAACTAGGCTCCTCCACCGAGCTCGGTTTGGTAATTCAGCTAGTTGCCTTCTCCAGCGTGGCTCTTTACTTCCTCCAGCCCGGCTTTCACATCGAGTTCTCGTCTTATAATTAAAGCTCCGAAGGAGATATGCGGTGCTCCGAGATAGTCCAGGTGCAAACGGAGCCCCAAATATATTCCTTTATCTTGTTGCTGCGTTTCTCTTCAGCCGGTATCTGCTCCAAAGGGACGCACTTCACTCGGTAACGACGGCGTATTCGCGCACGGCATTGTCGTAAAACGTCGTGAAGACAGCCCTGCAGCAGAGAAAGAGCCAAAGAAAAAATGGGTAGACTGACTACACCACGTGGAAATTCTCAGTCTCACTCAAATATAGCTGAGATATGACTTGATTTCAATTTCATCATATCGTCTTTATGCTAAGGAGAAGTTAGCTTATTCTTTTCCGTATTGTGGGTTATTATGTGGCTATAAGAGGGCCGTGCAAACAAATATCTGCATATTCTGTCCACCACAAAGAAAGCAGTCATGCGTTTGATTTTAATTCAAGAGAATAAGTAAAGTATGTTTTAAATAGCACTATATTATGAAAAGAAAAAGACTGTCCAAACAGATTATTGTTGAATGGGCAAGCACGGGATAGAATAATGAAACAATATGCTTTTAAACTCTTTTTATCATCTTCTTTTTGCTGCTCCCTTTAGTCGTCACCACAGTGCATCATCTCCCTCCATCTCACCATATCTCTAGCATCCTCCTCTGTTACACCAACCCTCTGCATGTCCCCTTTCACTACGTCCATGAACCTCCTCTGTGGTCTTCCTCTTTTCCTCCTCCCTGGCAGCTCCATCTTCAGTACTTTTGTTCAATATATCCACTATCCCTGCTCTGCACATGTTCAGCACTCTTGAGGTGTGCCTCTGATATGCTAATTTCTAATCCTGACCCTCCTGGTCCCACTCCCATTGGAAATCTAAGGGAATCAGCTTAAAGTATTTTAAAAAGGGAAAACTGCTATGATTGGTCCAAGAACCTATCCACTCATCACCATACCCTGAGATGTTGGAAGAGCTATTTTAGTTTCTGCAGCCAGCAACCTTTATAATTTCCAATAAAGAGTGGCAGATACAATATATGATTAGCTGAATATTTAGAATTTTTAAAATAATTTAAACGAAGGCAAACAAGAAGCCTAATGTGGTATGGAAGCTTGTTCCCACCACTAAAAAAAAGTCGAGATTTCCGGGTTTTAATCTCAAAATTTCATCTTACGAACTCACATTTCTGAGAAAATAACTTTTAGATAGTATATTTGATAGTATAGTATAGCTGAATAAAAGTATTTCAACTTTATAAATTATGCTTTTACACTGACATTCACTGCTGTCACCTAGGTCAGCCAAACCTTGAGCTTAGCTTTGATGTTATGTTAGGTAGGAACTATTATAGCCAGGCATCTTGTTTTTGACCGACGCTGTAGTGCAGCACCGCTGGTCCCATCTTGATTTGAGAGAGTGAAGAGGGAGCAAAGCGAACCGTCCATATTACAGCTGCCTCGTCAGGTACGAAATTCTTTTACATGCCACTGTCATCTCTTATAAAAGTGTGTTAGGGTTAAGTGATAGGTTCCGTGTACTCCCACTGCTTGAGAAAATGTTCTGTCATAATAAATTATGATAAGTTAATGAGCCTCGCAGCTCGCTGGTGGGTCGGCTAGCGGAGCTAAGTGATAGTCGCTAACGCTGGTTGTGCTAACGAGCTAGCGCTGAGTTAGCAGCTGAAGCATTGCGCACTTAAATGTCTTTTAAAATATCCACAATTCTAATTGTAATGTTGATCCAATGTTGTCGTTAATCGTTACTATGTGTCAACATCTTGATTTTGTAATTCTCTAATAGCGCTGACGAGATTCTTTGTCTTTCACTGTTTGCCCTGCGTTTACATGGAGGAAGCCTCCCTTTCGGTTTATCACGGCCCGCCTATGTTCAACACTGATTGGACGCCTGGCGTGTCCGTCTTTGAGATTACGCCGCTGATTGGTGGCTAACCAGGATGACAACGCCAGTTTTGTTGCTTTATTCCGCTGCCTTCAACATGGCCTTCCGTGGATACTGTTGTCACTGCGTTAATGTTAGGTTTCGTGATGACTGCTTCATTGTTGCACTATCCCTTAGATTTACCGTGGTAGGGATTTAACTGAGAATGTGCATACATATTAAATTTGATAATTTTTTGGCGCTAGCCTCTAGGCTAAACGTTAGCAAGATTAACGTAGCCATTTCCATTCTTTTTCTGTAAGTGTTTCGACAGAAAATGGATGGCGTTGATTTAACTGTTGCCCTTGGGTAGAAATAGTCACTCAAAGACAACGTTGAGCAAACAGCTCATATTTATAGCAACTGCTCGCTATATAACAGTGTGGTCTTTGCCTGTCCATAACCGAATCAGATGACCATTAGCTAACACATGACTTGTTCATATGCAACATATTAGAAAGACAAATATCTACAGAGGGTAAATTTAAGTGACAGATCATCCGTGACTAACTCTTGCTTATTTGTCTGCCAGCACTTTATACGGTGATGGACCCTCCTGGTGGGGGAGATGAACGGCGGAGGCAGGCAGAGCGTCTTCGAAGGGAGGAGGCGTACTATCACTTCATTAATGAACTGAGTGAAGAAGAGTACCGTCTAATGAGAGATGGCAACCTGCTGGGCACTCCTGGTAAGGAGGGGCACTTGATGCTTTTGCACCGTGTTGTTGGATCTGTACCCACAGTTATTTTTATTGTACAAAGAACACAAAGCCTGTGAAATTTTGTTTTATAGGGGAGGTGACGGCTGAAGAGCTCCGCCAGCGTCTGGATGGAGCAAAAGAGCGTTTGTCATCTCAGCCTTCCTCCGAGCAGCACTCGCAGACTTCTGAGTCTGGAGAGCAGCAGAGCAGCAGCGGTGAGGGAGAAGAGAGAGGTGCTGGAGGGAGACGAGGAGCAGGTAGGAAGGATTTCTTTCCTTAATCTTTCCAGATCTGGCTTTCGTGATGTTTTGTTTTGTTATGTTAAGCCCCAAAGTCACTTTTGAGTTAAATGGCTCTGTGGTATAGTGGTAGAACATTCACCTTACATGCAAAAGATCTGTGGTTTGATTCTGGGGTGAGAAGCAGACCCAGCTGTTCACCATTAGCTGTCGTTTTGGTTGGTTGTGCACCTCGTGACTTTTGTAATCTGGCAGATTGTGCTGCTAGCTCTGCAGCAGGGTTTAAGATAAGAGTTTACAATCATGTCAGTTTTCACTGCAGTTTTAAAGATGTATCAGTAGAGAAGGTCAGAGATTCACAGATTATACTTGGGGAGATGCTGCAGCAGTTTGAAGAGATGAAAAAAAAATTGCTCTGGATTTATTTCAAATGTCTTTACTTTCAGTTTTGTTTACTTCTCTTCCTATATCAGCGCTAATGTGGTGGTATTGTCTGAGTTGCGGCACCTGTCATTCATCAGAATACAGCAGCAGCTACCTGCGCCTGTCCAATGAGAGCAAATAGAAGTGGCTATGTGACAAGCACTGGTGACGTGTGAAGTCACAAACGAAGGGGTATACCGGGGTCTTTAGGGATCCATCTGCTGTGGTGACCCCTAAAGCTGCGTACACACTGGAAGCAATTCACAGAAACGTGGTGACTAGAGACCCTAGAAAGTCATCAAAATTCAAGTGAATAAAGACAAAATGACTGCAGGGGAAAGGAAGTAGGTGTCACTCATGATAAACCTTTGTCAACTTTCAGAGGAGTAAATGAACAGACTAGTAATGAGATTGAAGACTACCGATGATTGACATATGACCTGGTAGTAAACTTATTAGGGGGTTACCGAGGGAACTGGAGCTTAGAATGTCCACAAATGACTGGCCATCAGCTTCAAAGCAATGTCCAATAAACGAATCATCCATGGCGGTGTCTTCTTATATGTTGTTCCCCGCCTGGATGCACCAATCACGGAGAGGCACCTGCACACTCAGATTTACATATTACACAAAATAACGACAACAGTTGTAACACAGCCAAAAGTTACTTAATTTTTGATTTAAAAAAATGTGACAGGAAAAACACAAAATAATCTTTAAGGACTTGACTTTGGCAGCTATAAAAAGAAAAAGGGAAAAAAAACGATGACAAAAGACGGGTTTCACAAAATGTTCTGTGAAGGCCTTGTATTTATTTTAAACCTTGCCTAAGCTGGTACCAAACAAGACGGCGTGCTTTGTAGAACCGTGTTTGTATTTGTTTTAGCCTAAGTACTGGTTTTGAATAGTTTAAAATGGCTTTCATATTGTTGCAAGAGAACAAAAGCAAAATTTCTGCTAGAGACCTGTGAAAAGAGAAGTAGATTTAATTATTTAATTTACCTAGTCGTAACTTTTTTTTTTTTTATTTTTTTTTTTCTTCCTACAGGGGGCACAGAACCCGGAGCAGAAACTTCTAATGGTGACTCATTACTGGAGTGGCTGAATACTTTCAGACGCACTGGTAATGCTACTCGCAGCGGCCAGAGTGGCAATCAGACATGGCGTGCTGTCAGCCGGACCAACCCGAACAGTGGAGAATTCCGCTTTAGCCTGGAGATCAACATCAACCATGACCAGCCAGAGCCAGGGGAGCATAATGAGACTGTGGATGCCTCAGACCCACCAGTGACTGCCCCAAATACATCACCCTCAATACGAACTGCTTCCTCCTTTTCAACCTCTCGCCCTTCAACCACGCCAAGGCCTGCCCCGTACCCTACCCCCCGCCCAGCCATCAGTAGGCGGGTGCAGACACGGCGTACACGCAGCAGCACTACCACACTTTCTATGAGCCCCCCTGCACTTCCTCCACCAGTAGCGTCCTCAGCTGCTACTCAAAGGAGAGGTGGCACTTTGCACTCTTTAACACCTCCTCCCAACGTTCCAAACCCTCCTCCTGATCAAACTATACCTGTACAACAGCAAGCCTTGAATGTAGAAGGCGAGCAGGGGCGTAATGATGCGCCTGCTTCTATAGACTGCCCCCGGGTGTCATCCCAGTCTGCGACACAGGCTCCAGCAGCGGGACACGAATCCCGTGGCAGTAGGACTCGATCGCATGGTCGCACACGCAGAGCTGCGTATGGAAGTGGGCTTTCATCGCGCGTGTCAAGGCGAAGTCGTTCCCCTTTACACAGAGTTAGTGCTGCTAGTACCACTCTGCCATCCAGTAGTGATTCCAGCAGCTCATCCATTAATACTGTTGAATCAGGCAGTGGCACAGCCTCTGTGTCAATGGAGACTGGAGAGGCTGTGTCAGAACCCGTTGTTCCAACGGAGCCAGCTGTAGAGATGGTTGAACGTGAAAGTGAATCACAAGTAATAGGAGCAGGAAGTTCAGCAGTGCGAAGACATCCAACCATCATGTTGGACCTGCAGGTGAGAAGGATTCGACCTGGTGAAAACCGCGATAGAGACAGCATCGCCAGCAGAACACGATCTCGTGCTCGCGTTGCTGAAAATACAGTGACATTTGAAAGCGACAGTGGTGGATTTCGACGCACCATTTCTCGCTCTGAGCGAGCTGGGATTCGCACCTACGTCAGCACTATTCGGATTCCTCTGAGGCGTATCAGTGAGACAGGCCTGGGTGAACCCAACTCCACTGCCCTGCGTTCAATCTTGCGCCAGATCATGACTGGATTTGGAGAGCTTAGCTCCCTAATGGAGACAGAGGCTGATTCCGAAACTGTTGCACCTAACCATTCAGATCCTAATGGTACAAACGGTAACAACAGCCCAGGCAGTCGCCTGAATACAAATGAGAGTGTACCTGGCCAGGTTAGTACAGGTGGGGTAGTTCACGAGAGGGTGGGGCTGGTGGGAAGTGATGAGGACCAGAATGGGCAGGCTAGGCTCGGAGGAGTAGTGAGCACCACAGACGGACGGCCTACCAGCAGAGACACCAACAACCTAGTAGAGAACGGTACTCTACCCATCTTGCGGCTGGCACATTTCTTCCTGCTCAATGACGAAGAGGATGATGAACATCCGAGGGGCCTGACCAAAGAGCAGATTGACAATCTATCAACGCGTACGTATGGTCAGGCCAGCCTGGAGGGGGAGATTGGTCGAGCCTGCAGCGTCTGCATAAACGAGTATGTCCAAGGCAACAAGCTGCGCCGCCTGCCCTGCTCTCACGAATTCCATGTCCACTGCATCGACCGCTGGCTCTCTGAAAATAACACCTGCCCCATCTGCAGGCAGCCTATACTTTCAGTGCATCATGACTGATCTATTATCTCACAAACACAACTATCCCGTTCCTGGCTCCCTGAACTGAGCAGATCCAAGTGGGCTTTGCATGTACATAGCGCTTTCATGGTTTAATTTCTTTGATTGCTCATTGTGTTGAAGAAGGTTGAACCAAAAGTGTGGAATAAGAAACTATAAATGCAGAGAATAAACAAAACTTTATTTTTTTAGACCTTTGGTTTTCAACAACTCATTATTTTATTTTCTTCTTCCTGTGACCTAGTTCGCTTGACTCTGCGATGACGCTTCAGAAACTTGTCTATAGAAGGCATTGATGCTTATTAAGGAGCTCCTGTAGCTGCTGCTGAATAGTCTCACTTTAAATCTTTAATGTCTGACACGCGGCAACGTCTCTGTCACGGCTGGACTATACAAATCACTTCTAGGCTTGATTTCTCTTCCAATATAGGATGTAAATAACTCACCACTGCTTATATTTAAGGGTTTTGAAGAAAGCTGCTCTTCACATGCGATTTATTCAGAATGGAAGCAGGAAGCTTAGCTTATTTTAGCTTCATTTTTCAACATCCATTTAAAAGTGTCCCATTACAATTGGTTAAGAATTGTTTGATTTGTCGGGTATAAATGAGGAATGTCTTTAATTTTGAAACTATACTCTGTCCATCTAGTAGTATTTGTTTAAGCCCTTAAGTCCCATATAGTCACAACATAGAAGTCATCCATTAAAGTAACCTGCTAAAAACAGCCACTTTGTTATCATTAACATTAGCCATATGAGCAGCACAGTTTCAATGAAATGCAACATGTGATAATCAGGAATTCAGACTTGTCAGTATGAGTTGTGCAATGCAGAGGGGAAAAAAACAGTATTGTTTGTTTTGCTGTTCATTGTTGTTTACATTGTAACGCCTGAATATCATCTCCACTTAAAGTCTTGTTAAGAAATTGATGTTTGTTGGTTCCTGTTTTTAGGTCCACACCTGACAGGACCTTTGTCACCAGGTTGCGTAGTTAGCCTCTCACATGGAATTAAAAACAAAAAGAAAGAAATTGATTTTCAGTTTTTGCGGTTCTCTGGCTAACTCATAAGTCTTTATTCGTGAGACTGGTGCAGGAAAAATGTTTTTTCGATAATGAACTTGTCCAGAAATGTTCTGCTAATGAGAACCTGTTTACTCATTTTTTGCCCCCCTGATTGGGTCTGTGCAATGATAGCTATCTGTTAAAGTTTCATTGCAAGTGCACACGTGTGAATAAGGCCGTGCTAGTAATATATTTCTCTTTGCTCTTTGTTTGTTTTTACATAACATGGACAAATGTTGCATTTCTAGTGTAAAACAGGTGGGATATTTAGCTGAGCCACCCAGTCAGCATTTTCCCCACCAGTGTCACTTTGTACATCGGTGATTGCACAAGAGCTACTCTGCCTGTGCAGTTAACACATCACTAACAAAGCTGCAGGATTTGTGCAGTTTAGTCTGTAAGAATGTCTGAGCGTGTGGTAAGTATGTGTGTGTGTGTTTGGTATAATTATGTGTGTGTGAGGGGGGGAAAAGGTCCGGTGTACCAATCAAACCTGGTTCTCAGAAGGCTTCTCTCTGGTGCATGTTCACCTTAGAGAAAATTGTGGGCAGTTCAGGAGTAACTATTTATTCTGTTTGTATTTAATAAGATGGAAATCAACCTCTGAAATATGAAATGTTACAATGTGATGAGAGTAAATGAAACGGCTATGATGAACATGTTACTATGTAATAAAATGAAGACGGTTTTCTTCTCTGCTCCTTAACAGTGTAATAAAATGCCGCTTTGTTATGCTGGAATTTCTACTGTATGGATGTATATGGTTGAAACTGTCTGCGCAGTGATTCAGGCCAGGGCGTCATCCCATGCCGCTCTTTAGAGGATATAATAGATTAATCATCACACTTTAAATCAAACAACCACCAAAAGAATTCACTTTAATTTTATTATTGTGATCTTACAAGTGTAATGAGGAGAGTAACTTTACAAAATAAAAACATACAAAAAGAACAGTTATTGAAATAATTTGTGTTAACATATGAAAAACTAAGTTTGGACATTGTTAGTTCTCAGTTTTCAAAGCTATGTCATTAAAATGTACTATGAACACACACACGTATCTATAAGAGATCATTTGCATATAATTATTAAACAGTAATATACAATAAGCTCAAACGTCCCAATGTTTTTATACTGAAAAATCAAGCAAAAGTATCAAATTTCACTCACACATTCAGCGTAACTGATCATGAGCTACATCGATGTAAACCCTATATTTGATTGGCACTTTTGGCAAGTTTTCAACTTGTAGCAATTTTTACATTTATATTTCATCGTATTTATTTTTCTATTAGGTACCTACTTGTCTCCTCCGTGTTTTCATTTTGTTTGATAGACCTGTTTACCTGGTTGCCTTAGTGACAGAAAGCGAAATAGAGATTACACGCGCTTAATTATGCGCGTCTTTGGCGTGCGCACCTGCGTGCCATGGATACGCAGAGACTCTGTCTCCGTGACGTGCGCTTCTTCGAGGTTCTCAAGCAGGCCAGAACGACCCTCGGTCCTCCGGGAAACGTGGCAGATGTAAACAGCAGCACTGGCTACCAATAATCGGATCTATTTTTAAGGACCTTGTTAAATCTAAACTTCCACTCAGCACTTTTAATTGACCTAAGCGATAAAAGCATAAACAATTATATAATAATATATAAACTTTAAAAAAGTACTTTGAAAACAAAGTTGCTGAGAATTTCTAATAACAAGGGAAATCTTCTAAAAGACTTAGCTGTTTGTTCAGTAAAATGTTTCTGGCTGTATCTTTATGTATTTATCTCACACTGAGCCTCTAGAGACCGGGAGCGCTTAGCGTCTTATCCTCATCCATGCGCGCTCCCGTGGCTTGTCTGAAGCAGTGTCATAAAGCCAAACCGAATACGAGCAAAAATGTCTCGCCTTTCCTTCAAAATATGAGCCTATTAAGCGTTCACTAAAACCATTTCCAAGTAAAATAAAATAAGATTTAAAAAAAGAAAAGAAAATATATTGTGAAAAAGTGGCTGTTTTCACAAAATAACAAACATTTACAGTATAGATATACTGTATATAAATATATATATGTTATAATATATAAGATATATATTATTTATTTATTTATTTTATGCCCTTTTTATGCCTCTATACTTTATATCTTAGACACAGAAAGACAGCCAAATGATAGTTGGCTTTTAATATAGTTTTAATATTAAATATAATATAGTAGCGTGACAGTTATTAGTGTTTGTACTGGGTTTTTTTTTTCACTTTAAAAAAAAACAATTAATTTATTTTCTATCCTCTTAAAGCCCGAGGAATAAAACAATTGCCAGAAAATTATATATATTATTTAGAAAATGGAGGGTTTATTGAACCATCTGATTAAATTAAAAAAAATAATAATAAAAATTAATTTCTAATATACTTATTTTTAATTTTATTGCTCAAAAACGTGTATAATTTATTTCGGTTTTTCATTAGGGAAAAATCACACGGATGACGTCTCAAAAAAAGGTGGAGGAGATACGATACAGTCGTCTTTACAGAATCAGAATCAGAATCAGGGTTATAGGGTTAAATAACCCGTTTTTCTCCTATACTGGACTTTGTAGGTTTAAATATGCTTCATAAATAAAACTGAGTGCACCGAAAGCAGAGGCAGGTCACCGTTTAACCGCAAACTTAAGCGTTAATTATCCGGCCGATGTCATGAATCCAGTTTGTTATAGTCTAACGTAATTTTATTTTGAAAACATTGACCGGAAGCACCTATTGTGTCTAGTCTGACGCGACGCTGGAGCAGGCTGCCCTCTACACCACATCCCCGCGGTTTGACCGAGAAATAATGATCGCTGAGAAGCAGCAGCAGCATCGGCGGCAGCGACGACCGCAGCCGGGGCCCATGCAGAGCGTTGCTCCTCTGCTCCCCTCTCCGTGAGCATGACACCGCTCCGGCCTCCTCGTTCTAGCCGCACCGACTCTCGTTCACCGCTCGCAAGATGTATTTCAACCGGAGAGCCAAGAAGATCCACAGCGAGGGAGGTAAGCAGCACGAAGAAACGTGTTATTTAATCTTTGCACGACCCGGGTTCCGCCCGCCGCTCTCTGCTGTCACACATCACTGTGAAGTGAATCCCACTAACGGGCCTGTCCTTTTTCTGCATACAGCGGCCTGTGTAGAAAATCGTGCGCTTTTGATATGTGCTTGGCATAATAACGGGGAACCGTTTTATTCGGGACTGCGGCATCCACACGGAGGGACATGCCGGTGTTTATCCTCCAGCATCGCTCATTTCTTGGCACCGGATGGGAATGCAAAGGGCAAGCAGACTGCAGGTGCCTGCAGTCTGCTTCAGGTCTCATTTAAATAGCCTGGCATCATTATGGAGGAGCCAAGTGAAGGAATTTCTGATGACCTCAATAGTATTTATCTTCCACGGGTTAAATGTGTGGCCTTATCAATAAATATTGACTGCCTTGTGTAAATATGACCTATGGCCTTGTTATGGTGTTATATAATTATGCTGTAACAGATTTGTGTTCCTCCTGTGCTGCATCATAGTGTCCGCGATTGACTCTCAGAAAAAAAAGACAATGTATTAACCTACTTTTGCTGTGATTGAAAGCGAAATATTAGCAATATAAGGTGACAAATTTACCCCAAGCGCCTGCAGATCGGTCCAAGAACAGCCTATTACCTCGTCGACTTAAATACCACGTGACTCTCTAAAGCGCGCTCCTTATCTCACCTTTATCTCAACCTTAAGGGCATCCACATCCACAGCGTGTTCAGTTTTAAAGTGCTTCACACCCTTATGTTGAATAAAGGGATGTTTCAGTCTGTTGCTCACGCGTGAATCTGCCTCATGCAACAGGATGCATTGAACCCCCGTTCATGCAAGAACCTGCACTGTCTCAGTTTTTAGCAGGAAAATGTCCTCATCAGCTAACAAGCTGACCAGAAGGTGAGGATGCTGAAACAACCTGCTGCATCAGATGATTTCACACATGGCAAGCAGACGCTGGATTGGATTGTCCTGGAAAAGAAGAGCACGTGTTTGCCTCATCCAGTGGCTTTTAATAGTGACCGGCACATATTGTCAGGCTGCTCTGCTGTTGTGTGTGTGTATCTGTGTGTGAGTGTGGCTGCATGCCTCTTGCAGCTTCCAGAAATAGAAAGCAGGGTAAATTGTGAGTGCCAACTGGGCCATACTATCTTCAGGCCAGAAGTTCCACATATTCATTTGTTGTTAAAAAAAATGCATTTCCACTTTTTACAAGCAGAAGGTCAAATGGTTAAAAAAGTGACATTGTTCCTATTTTGTAGATCCCTCCCACCCATTTATTATTTGTATATATAAATATGTTTTAAACTGAATTTCAGGTGGTCTCATGATGAATTTGTTACCTTATTTACACTGTGATTTTCAGATATAATCCTGCAGCTTTTTTTTGGTTTTGTGGGGTTTAAAAGTTGCTTTAAAGCTTTTATACTTTAAGCACAGGATGATAGTCTAGTCAACGTCTGCATGTTTCCGCCTGGGTTCCTCACGGTGCTTTTACTGTAATCTCTTGAAGCCTGACCGCTTGATTCTTTGCTCCAATTAGCGAGCTGCCACATGCCTGGCAATGACGTCTGCAGCTGCCAGTCTGTCACATTTATTTACACACATTTGCAAAGAGAGTTATAGTTTTAACTGTTTGTATTTAAGAGGAGCCTTAGAGATATAAAGCATGTGTGTGGTAGTGAGTGCTGAGTAAAAGCATTCTTCTCCATTTGAATATCAGTGTAAGGCCACATTTTCTACTAGTGTTGATGTGCTTTCTTGATGTGAGTCATGCAGCTCAGCCAACTGTCAACAGTACATCTGTTTAGGGAAGATAATGACTGGTTGTCATGGCTGCCAAGCTACCTAAGATACCATTTAGGAGATAACAGGGAGGCCCAGTAACCTGCTGAAACAAGGCATTTACATGAAGTACCCAGGAGGAGGCACTCCTGGGCAAGCTATGAGGGGTTTGGTCAAAGTGATTTCTGAGCAGCTGTTCAGGCTTACATCCATCATATGCTGGCATGAGTCTCATCTCAGTTGTTGATGCTTCCTGTGAAAGGCACATAACAAACAAATCATCTGGGTAGTCACTGACACGTGGATGTGCTGTATGAGGTACAGTCTGTGTGTACTGACTTGTTGTCTTGTGTGTGTGTGTGTGCTGTCCTCTCTCGCCGTGGCCTCTCTCTCTTGGCGTCCACAGAGCAGTTAGTGTTGACCACCATTAGGCAGGAGTCTCCTGAGCTGCAGGACCCAGGCCAGGGCGCCGGTGCTACCATGCGTGCCCGCCTCGCAGACAGGTTTGACAAAAGTGAGTTTGCTCGAATTAGACTGGATGATGCCCCCATCTGTGTCCGGAGTCCCAAGGTGCATGTACCAACAGCTAGGGGCAGGCGTGTGTCAACCCCTGGCCCTCAAGAGCTACAACATTGAGTTACTCACATTAGGATCTCAGGGTCTTTGCAGAAAAGGTTATGACACGTTATCACTGTTGTGGACTGATCATCTGTAGCTCCTTGGGGCCTGGAGTGCGATGAATGCTGAACAGGACCCTCTCACTGCATGTGCTTGTAGATATTGGTGGCATACCTGTAGCAGTTCATGCTGGTGAAGACAAAGCTATATGGGGTTTTTAAGCAAGTGCATCTGCATGCTGTAGAACTCAGCACATGCACGCATAGATATGGCATGCCTGAACAGCATGTACAAGAACACTGCTGCATGCATGTAGGTACGACTCTGGGTATAGAGAGGGGCATGGGAGTAGCTGCATGTCGATGGGTCTTTTTTATGTTTTCTGGCTTTAAAAGATTTACTTTCACCTGTTTGTGTGTGTGTGTCCATAATGCAGTGACAGTGTGTGTGTGTGTGTGTGCATTTGCATACATTAGTTTAAGGTGTATGAGCGTGTTGCAATCGCACCTG